ATTACATTTTTAATCCTTTTAATTAAATTTTCTTTTAGCTTTAAGAATTTTGTTACTTCCCAAAATTTCTCGAGGCACTTTCTAGCCTTGCTGTAAGTATTTAGCACAAAACGTTGTAAGGTTTAAGTTCCGAACACTCCACACACAGGCACAATAACACAAAAAAACATCTGAGTGATTGTAATAATTTTACCATTAAGCGATAAGGAAGGTCAGAAACTAGAGCAGAGCTGTTCTTGGCTTGAAATGCTCCCATTTCCTTGACTGGCATGTAAAGCTCACAGCTTTTATCTAGCAGAGCAGTGTGTAAATAGTTGAACTGTGGTCCCGAATGTAAAACAAGCCGAGTTAAAACCATAATAAAGGATAATGAAGAGCGGACATAAAGCCAATCACAACACAACTTGCAATCTCAATGTGTGTGTGCTTGAGTCCTGGAGGGAGCAGCAGGAACAATAAAAAGAAAGGCCTGGTTTACACGCGTGTACAGTTTGCTGCTGATTGAATGAATTCAATGCTGATTTAATCCTCGCACGTGTTTAAATGCTTGTGCATCTACATCCTAATTTTGCTGCACATTTCGTTCCCTAAATAGCCGCCTCCCCCTGTCCTGTGGCCATTTTCCCATTCACTTTGTAGTGTTCTAATTGCGCTAATGTCTAAATGTCAAGTAAATGGGCGCTTACGTGCCAGTGAGCAGAGCAGTGCACGCATGTGTATCTGTGTGTCTAATCTGATGTGTGTACCTTGTGAGTCCACGGGGAGGTGTAGCCGTGGGCTGACTCACTCTACAGTTGGCTGATTGAACTAACATCTAAATGTGCGCTAAATATCTTCTCACAAATTCAATTAACTTTACCTTTCCCCCGGCTCCCTCTGGACACCTTAACAGCCATTTTACTCAACTATAAATAGACCGGACATGGGACCTTGGTTCACGGCGTGCTCGTGTGGAAGTATGTGTGCCCCTTTGTTTCTGGGCTTCTGAGAACCGCTTTGAGAATTACACTTTCAAGTGTAACATTTTAGCATCACCAAGAGGTTATGCTTAATAGTACGGACACCTGGCAGGCAGGGAGGATGCCTTCAAAGCTCTGTGAGCTGATTGGCCTTGAGCCAAAGCACAACTCACTTGAAGCTGGTAATGATCTAGATCCAAGATTTTGACTATCTCAACCTAAAATGCAATAAAGAGATGTCATTTAATGTCATCAAATGATTTGATGTCATCAAATTCTACATTTTAACAGTTAATTACCATTTTGCATGAAAGAGTTCTACTAGAGCTGCATCTTTAGAGTGAATTGAGATACATTTTGACAATTGCAATTCATGCACAAGCATGAATTCATGTTTGTGCAGCTCAGTGAATGTTGATGTAGCTTTGTGTGTGTGTGTGTGTGTGCGTCCGTGCGTGCGTGCGTGTGCAAGATGCAACAATGAATATCAAGACCTGATAACATCTTAGAGTTTCCTTACTTGAACCAATCCAGCTAACGACTTTCCAAACTCATTTTCAGTAAATGGCTGCAGCACCGCTACAGGAAATTAGAAAAGTGTAATGAATTTAAAAAAAAACTGAGGAGGGACAGAGAGGCACTACCAGATAGAAAGAGAGCAAAAGGGCGATCGAAAAAAGTTGAAAGTGTAAAAGCTACACAGAAAGCAGAGAGGGGAAAATAAAGACAAATGTAGTAAACGCGAGAGCCAAACCACACTTTGAATATGGCGTCAAAGTTGGCGGCCAAGCCGACAGCCTAAGTTGCTATAGGCAGGCATCGTCGTGGTAACAACAACGTCACTGTAGCAACCACAAGCTGATGTCATCTGAGGCTGCTGTATGCCAGTGGTTACTGATCGTTTTGTCCTCACAATACCTCACTGAAGGGAGACTGAAGGCATGAAATGACAGAGTATCTGG